CGGCATCACCAATGACTAGTCCCAAAGAAGTGTACGGCATCAACCATCCTGTTTCCTTCCTCACCGATCTCCATTAGCTCTTCCCTACCAAATCTGAATCGCTTACAAACAACTTTTTGTTACATGATAGTAATAGAGTATTTGATTCGATTGTATAGTGGCTTTCTTTGTGAAAAGAGCCAATTGAGGGTTAGATGAAAAGCTAGGAAGCACTGGACAGCGATTTCGACCTGGTTGGGTCTCATCATCAGTGAAAATCCATTGGCTTAACTGAGAATCGAAGTCGGTATCTCACAGGTAGAGCGCTTGAGTCGGATTAGTTTTATCAGGCACGTGGCGATCAAGTGGTTGGCATCTTTGCATCCTATCGGTGAGGTCCTGAGCTCGATCCCAGTTGGGTTGATGGATTTGCACTGTTGATGAGACCCAAATTGGTCGAAAGGGATTTCCAGTGCTTCTACTGGTTCAGCGCACGCTTCATTTAATCCATAGACGACGATATTCACTATATAAACAACATTTAATCTTACACCTTACACCACATGGCTTATTTTGTCCAGTAGGCCAAAGGTGCTCTTCCTAACACCGAATAGCCTTTACACAGTGAATTCTTATAACGTCGTTCTCATTCCGCCACGCGATACCAATTCGATTTCCCATTTCATCTGGTCTAAACGTAGACAGCGATTCCCCTATGCCCTATCTACCTTTTATTTTCTGTGACCATTCGCACTGGGAGTCTTTGTTGACCAACATGTGAGCCGTTATGTTTTATACAAATAACGATACCGCATCATTACCGATCTAGATAAAAATTGTACTTGAATTAGATTTTCCAACTTCCACTCAATAAAACTCTCTGCTGTACTGTAGATATAAACAGTGTTACTATTTAATTTCTAACTTGTTGACCGGATCGATTGGCTCTAACTTGTGAATAATCAGAACCACGAGGCTGTTGTATAGACCAACGGCAAAACATGTGAGTGGCGGCGGGTGGAATGGATTTTGTTAAATGTATTCGGTTTGGAGTTGAGTGGTTAAATGGGATTGGATTTTCACCGGGGCCCATTTTTGGTTATTGTTGTTTACGTCATATTAAGAAGGACACAATAGGTTAATAATTTCCTTGTATTCGTAGGGGAGTAATCATTTCAACCTTTTAGTCAGCAAGGCAACAGACCCTGTGAATACGCAACCGCAGGCGATCAGCTTTTAAGGCAATCCGATCAGAAATGTATGTCAGCGTCAAAGGTCACGCTTGTTCGTGCAGTGTGCGTGTACGTGAATATGCCAGAAAGTGCATGTTTGCTAACAAGCTCGATCAATTGTTAAACTGCGTGTATATGTGCTCGTGTTTGCTTGCACGTGACTGCCTGATTCAAACAACTGAACTTTGAATCTTGCAGTCTTTTATTAGATAGACAATCAATTTCCAGGACAAAGGAATCAGTTGGTCAGAATCTGATCGGTAACACGAAGTCCTGAAGAGGTCAGATACTGGTAGAATGGAGATCGACCTTGCAATATTTAGACCAATCCGATTCACCTGGTTCTGTTCTTTGTTCATAGCCGTATCGTATTTGTCTTCCTTTGACATTCAAGGAGAATGAAAAATTTCAGTAGGATGTTCAATCCCCCTCCCCTCCCTCAATCGGCAGTTGTGCTAAATGCGATGGCTACATGAACCCGACTAATCGCTATATAATTTTACCACAGTAATTTCCCTGCATTTCGGACGCATTTTTATCATTAAAGAGTAACCACATGAAGCGTGCTTGTCGTTTGTGAATTCGCATTGAATGAAATAAAAACTTAGTTAATTCTCGTAGCCATGCGCTCAATGTGTTAACTTTTGACCGCGTACATCACGGTTAAGGGTATTGGATTCCAATCCGAAGGTTCGTGATTCTAGCCCCGACCGGGGTTGAACAATAGTGCTCATTGTTGTTGAGTCCAACAAGGATGAAACAGGTGTTCCGTAATCTTTGCTGACGTTCATGTTGATGCTAATTCTACCAGCACAACTGTATATTGAATCAGTTGCAGCCTGGAGATATATTGGTAAACTTTCTAACATAGCAAGGTTATTCAAACATTATCCTTCTGCGTGTGTTTGGAAGAGGAAAACTTGCTGATGCAATGTCAGCTCAGCGTTCTGCACACAGCTTATCATTCAATCTGGATACATTTTACATGTATTTGAGAATAAATATGCAATGCTATCAGCTTAACGTGTTTTTTTGCACTTCATTTAAGAAATAGACGAGAGGCGACCAATCAAAATGCGACGATGGCCGGATTTGGATAGAACCTATGAGGTTGAAGATGCCCTACACTGTTTGACCATCGCCAACCTAATGAAATGTACCACGTCTCGTAGAACTACTCGGTGCGTGGAATCGGAGTGAAAAACGCCACTTGTATTATTATTTTTATTATTATTAGCAGAGCACCTAAAGTAAAAAGCAAGGAAACACTTTCAAACCTTGTTGAGTACCGTTAGCAATGAAATTTCATTAACCTAATCAGGGTTAGATCCCGAGACCTTTTTGGACAACCCGAATGTACCAGCACCCGATCATAGAGCAGATTAGAATGAAGTGAGTGCAATTTTATGTTGCACGCAACCGATGGTACCGGGCTGTTATGTGATTATCCATCCACTTCATTTTATGCTTTTACCATTCATATGAACCGAGTTTCTGGTGAGCCACAGATACAACGCACACAAAAATGAACAAAATTGTCAAAAGCAGTGAATTTCTGGTGTATATATATAGATATATACGATGTCACCTAAAAAATATTCTTTGTCGACTTGCATCGATTTCCAGTCAAACAGTCTGACTGAGATAGATGGCTGGACTCTTCAATCGCTTATTTGAATTATCTTTTGTATTAAGGTCTTTGTGCAATCGCAATGCCTGACGTGAACTTCACACGGTCGCAAACTTTCTTGCGACGCAAATACATTCAGGATATTTGCCGGATGTATTGATAGCTGTTAAGTACAAACTAGTTGATCAGTTCCCCTACACATCTCCTACCTCGGCATCCGGATATTTACTCAATAGGAAATCCAACAGGCCTTGAATCATCCAACTGCTTTGCGTCTCTCCCGGATGTACGCGAGCCGTGATGACAACGCATTGTTTGCGCCCCGGAACCGTGGTATCCCGCGCGACTGGATCCTCGTCCGCCTGCTCTAGCTCATCCGTGGATTTGCCTGCCTAGTTAAGTGAAAAACAGAATCAGTGGAACGCATATCGACAGATCAGTTCGCTGTAATGCATGCATGATTGAATGTAACAATCAATACAATGTTGAATTTATCGTGTCTTGTTCAGTATTTCAATCAAGTAGTTAGGTAAGTTGTCACTAGCCAAACACAAAACAAACCAAAGGGGCATCCCAAATTTCACGGAGAAGCGGAACATTTTCTTGTACATTCGTAATCTACCCAACATTGTGGAAAACCTTATGACAGCGAATGCAGATGCTGTTGCTATGCGGTTCGGAATCTCCCTGATACGTTCTGTTTTTGCATCCCAGTGATCCTCCTCATTCTCTGTCCAGCCATGACCTGCTTTCCCTTATCGAGCCCTGAACCCAGCTGAATCCTGTTACATTTGACAAAGTTGTATATATCTTCATCGATGATGTAGTTACCTGGGGACGTACATCGAAGCCATGCGCTGACTCCTTCGGTTCGTTCTTTTATCCACTTCGGTGTCAAAGACCCAAATAATCTAATGGAATCGATTTACACGAGGAAAATCTGGAAATGCTACGCGGACTCTGATTCCTTATATCTTAATTGAATTCTGATCGGGGTTGTTTTCCATAGAGTATGCGTTTTTGGCTCAATCTTGTATTTTTCCTGCCTGGCTTGATGAATCGACCCCGGTCATTTTTGGTGTTCTGCAAAGCAAAGACCACATTAGCCAGGGCAGATGCATGTGGATGCTCGCATATTAAATTAAGTGATTAGGGTACAGAAAAACATTTTATCATTCTCAGAAGTTTTCCTTCAAAGTAATACTTGATAACGTACATCCTTTGCTCATCATCCTAAAGAAAATTCATTCACTTCCTCAGCTAAGTGCCAATACAAGTAAACTTACAAGCGAATCATTGCCCACAGTATATTACTTATTCCTTGACATTTGAGAGACATCATAAATTCAGAATAAATGATTTTAGAGAGTGGATAAGCGATTAGCTGAAACTCGATATTGCATCGATTTACCCTTGCACATTTTTAGTGAATACTGTTGTGTTGGCTGGTAAAACACTAACCCTTGCAACATGGGAGAAAATAAAGAGAATCCTGCCCCAGCTTGACCTAGATAAATGAATGTGCAATGAACGAGACGGTGGGATCAATTCTTTTTACCTCAAACACGTCAGTCTGACAATAAACAGAAATCGGAGCTTTGGCAATTGAAAGGATTTGTAAACTGCTTTTGTTAGTTTCATTTGTGATATTTCTGCGAGCATATCACTCTTGATTGTCTTAGCGATGCAAACTGACTTTTTCTTAATGCCCACCTCTCCTTTTTCCTGGTATTGATCAATCATCCTGTGTATAAACATTACACGTTTTCACGAAATAGAGCCCCAACTCTGTTGTCTTCACTGCACACTTTTCTTCCTGTATTCACATGGCAAAAATCAAATTCTTTCTGATGTTAATCTGCGCAAGCCTATGGAGATTGCGAATTTCACATTTGGAATGTCACCTACTTGCCGAGGGCACAGAACACGATCTTAGATAGACGATTGAAACTGGTTGTAAAAGTCGGCAAATGGTGATTTCATGATCATACCATTCGTTTGGCTGTAAACCTGTTCATTAAAGCTTGAAATGTTCGTTGTACGTGCATTGATAAAGTATGCGACTCATGCAATCCAATGGAATACCCAGGCCCCAAATTGGTGAATTTTCTATTGTTACCCAGATGTTTGAGAGAGATTCACTGACGGGTAACGTTTGTGAAGTGAGCTGATGTCCAGCCAAAGCATCGATTGGCCCGTCAAGCTCATACCGCAAGCTGTTTTTTTCATGAAGACAATGTCTCGTGCACGGAGCTTACCCGTTCTGAACCAGACGGAACGCCGCGATTCAACTAATCATTTCACCAAAAGCATGCGATGCTTCCTGAAACCAACTGGTCGCAGTAAAACACCTTTGTCGCGTGTGCTTTGCAGTTCAAATTGTCAACCTTGTGGTTTGAGTCTGCACGGTGATCGAACCGATGGTTTTATCGTCACGGATTCATTCACCCGCATGAGAATTTAGTGCGTTAATCCAAAATCCGATCCAAGTTCATTGGCGTCAAACATCGCTCCAATTCTGTAACCAGCTGATCTTGTTGTTTTTGGCTTACGGTCATGGAAGTTTCGGTGCCTGAGATAGGTGGTTTTGTAACCCTAATGCTTACAGATGAATGCTCATCTATTCGGCAGTGATTAATTCACTATTGGGGTCTTTCGGAGGAGTGAGGGGCGAGAATAAGTAGCAGACGATTCGAAACTTAAATTCGGTACTTGACCGATGGCCTATATGGTCTAACGATGACCAAATATTCCGCCAGTCAATGCACCTGTGACGACAGGCAACAGCCGGAATGAGCACTGTTCTCCTATCCATGCAGCCAATACATATATACCCCAAAACCACCGGAGCACCCACAAAAAAAACCCGGTTGATACATTCTTTCAGCATTTCGTATTGCAACTCATGTTCCTGCACAAACTTGTCGCGTTACTTGAAAGTGTGTTCGTTATGCACACAGAAAACGTGTACTGGGAACGTCTTAAAAGCAGTACAAATCTGTTTCATCCTAAGGAGTGCGTAGACGTGTACCAGCGAGACATGCTATTGAAAGTTAGTTTTCTTCGCTCGCATGGGCTGGACTGTTTGCCGAGTTTAGAAAACTGTTTTGACACAGTTTTGTCGAAACTAGACAAGGTGGAAAGTTCAGTGCTTGTGGAGTTTCACACCTGAACTGGGTGGGATGTCCGACTAACCATTCAGTTCGCCCTAGATTGAATCCCGATGGATTAAATGCTAATGAATTCTGACGGGCATAATCTAATTTTGCTGTCCCTTCAATTGAATTCACATGTTCATTACGCATTATTGAATCCCGCGTAAATGAGATTAACAATCACTTCACAAAAAGACTTTAATTTGGTCTAGAAAAAACTGATGAGACTCCGGGTGTTTACCGACACCACCAAATGAAACATATTTTGCTTCAAGTTAAATCTCTGGCGTAGCTCGGTACCCAGGAGGGATGAAATCATACTCATGGAGATCAAATATCAGATCAAATATCCCAACACCAGAAAACAGGAGTGGCCAACCAAATATTGTAACAATAGGGCAATTGAGCAACACACTTGTTGATTGCGGTAACAGAAATAGTTAGTTTTCGGCGTCTCACACAACCACATACATCATCCTTTTCCTAACCATCTCACATAAACTACACTTTCCGAATAGCTGAGCATTCTGGCTCTCTTTTCATCTTCTCATGATCTACTCTAGTCTAATTCTTTTAGACCTTTTGAATACCGGTTTCAGCTGCAGCTCTCGACCTGAGCTATCTCACCGTTCACCTCATATTTTTGTCGATACGACTCTATTTGTTTGTTACGGACTGTTTTTGACACCGTCTGTTCAATGACCTATCCCTCTTGAATTCTTTGGGCCACGGAGTCGATCATTCTCTACATTCATTGTGCCTCCAGTCTCCTTTGAATTATAACTCTAATGAAATAGGTGGGCTTCATTTGAGACCAAAGGAACCGACAACTCTCACAGTGTAAAAAACGGTTGAGTCTCTCGCACACGTGACAAAGTCAAAGTTTTGTTATGGGAATTACTTACAAGCTCATATGTCTCTGGTCCCCGTAGGATATTTCTACAGTTGAATCATTTCTAGGCAAAAAACTTAAAAAATGCCACAGATTTCGAGGTAAGAGAAAAAATAATGTACTACGTAACTAATGTGTTTTAGTTGTGCAGGAATTTGAGGTGTGCCAGGGTTCCCTCAAGTCTCCGTTTGGAAGATTCAACAGTTGGTGCCAAAACGATGTGAGATGGGTGTTCCAAATACTGACTGCAAAAGATTGACGCCGGCATTGCAGTCGATACTTGAGAATCATTGATCTGAAACGATGCCCCCCTAAAGTGTATGTTGGGTGACGACATGGATGGCTAGGTGTAGTGATCCAAGCCTACGTGATGACGCCTACCCTGGAGCGGCGCGTTACAGGTTCTGGACACTTGCGATCAATCAAATTTGGAAGGTGACGTCAATGCCACGCGTACGGCTTCTGAGTACACGCCACAGGCAGGTTGTGCCAGCCAATCCGAGACAGTGCAGACAGATGCAGAATTGTGCAAGGAATACTGAGATACGATTGATGGAAGCCTAGATAACCAATGATCTTCTTTTGTATATCTTATTTAATCGCCTTCATTCCTTCCAATAAACGAACTACGAGTTGCCAGTCGTTTGGCTTTTCCTCGTGTCTCGTGCACGTGGGATATTGCGAGCTCGTGTCATTGCGGTTCAGTGCTTCCCTAATCCAGTCCGTGATAGCTGATTCTGGATTCGTGTCCTTTGATTCCTGTTGCGTGGTTTATGTTCCGAATTCCGTGCGTACTACTACTAGTACTACAATCATTACACTAGGATTCTACAGTATGTGATAAAACATAATCAAGCCTCATCGAATTCGGCAGTAATGAGTAGAATATGGGTCCACTAATCGTTATCTGTCCTCATATTTGAGGTAGTTCAATCCCTTGATCAGTCCTTGGCAGTCCTGTAGGGACGCTTCAGCATCTTACGATCACGTTGCAACCATCGATTCCAAGCTTAGATGGGGAACTATATGTACATTCGAATATACACTGATAGCAAAGATGGAAACAACACTGCATCAATTTGACGAATGATTTGTTCAGGTAAGCCAAAATTCTTCACAGCAGCGGATGAAGCCCTCCACTTAAGTAAACTTGAACAGTTATACCTAAGTCCTTCTCATTTGACCTATATGCCAGCTGCTGATTTCAGAAGAAATACGAGAATCTACTCTTGTAGAGTAAAGAATGGACCTTGCGTTCAGAAACACTAGATTCAATGTCATTCTCCGTAGACCACTGATAAGCTGCTCCAAGTGTTTCTTGACGTGATAGTGAGCCTCGTGTTCTGACACTGTACTCCAGATTTTGGCATAGTCTGTAAACAGTATTGCTCTTGTTCCTACCACATTCGGTCGATCCTTTATGATTGCAAGGATATTCGTCAAATCCACATTAGATTCATGTAGAACAAGCAAATGCTTTTCCGGATTTGAGAAGGGCTACAACATCTTTAAAACTAAGAAATTGTTTCTCCATGTCATATAAACTTACCACTGACCTCTATGAAAAGGTTTGAAAGAAGTGTATAACTTTTCCAAAGCTTTCGGGAATCATCATGTGCAGTAGTATTTGAGCACGAAGTTTATCAAGGCTCGACGTGAATTAGTACTTATCATATTCGTCTTATTCGTTGACTTCATTTTAATGAATTCATGATGGTACAAACAGTTTTCAGTGAGAGCAAAGCGACCAATCAAACAAATACCTTGTAATACAACGGAATGGAGAAAGTAAGGCATCGATGATTGGGTTGGAAAACATCACTTCGGGTATATAAGTTGGTGTCTCTAACCACTTCACCATTGGAATGTCCAGGCTGGTTCGATGGTTAATTTCCTGGGTGACATAGAGCAACTTAGTCTCCGACATTCAATGGTCACTATCTGTAATCAGGCAGAGATTGATTCAATAACTTAACTGATGAAATTTTATTCAGTCACCACCACCCTGTCATACAAATTTAACATAAATGGCAATATCCAACATTGCAATTAGGGGGAATATCGTGCAATGGTCCTGAGCTGTTGCACGATGATTACATCTCCGCATATAGACTTTGAAAGTGGTTCGTGGGGATCAACCAATCAGTTTACCAGTGAGCATTGAAAACTGCAGCTTGTGATGAGTTTATGAGTGGTTCGCCTGCTTAGGCTTAACCCTGTCCGCCATCAACTTACCATGGCTGATTTGACCCGTCTCTCCGGTTCAGTGATTGTCAACAGGGGAACCGGATTACCGGCCATTGTGGTGCAAAGCTGTGTTTGTTGACAGACCCTATTGCGATACGGGTCCAGTCTGACCGCGGTCAGATAGTCTTGTAGTTGACTGTACGTGTACGGATAACAGGAAGCGAAATAGACCACATCATCATCGTGAGGAAATTGAAATGTCCAAGTTAATGAATACCACGTTCCGGATGCGTGTGTGCTGTGCGCCAAACCACGTTGTAGTTGCGTGGTAGAGTGCCAGTCTGTCTGTACACTTTCGTGATTTGAGAATTGTGTGTGGTTGCTGAATTGGGTAAAAATACCAGAAAAAAATTGATTAGCTACTGTTTCTGATTCAGTCGGCAATTTATTGAACTAGATTATCTTTCTTTTGACTCTGAAGGTCAGGAAGGGCTCTTAAGGGTTGTGGGTAAAGCTGAACTGCTAGGCAAAGGATACAATACAAGCACACCGACCAAGACGAGAACTAAACAAACTAAGATGCTGTGCAGTCATTGAGCAGCTCATTCTCACAACCAACGTATACAAAGTCTGTAAGTGCTATCACAAGCCTTCCCTAGAGAACAAACCTCCTCATGGTTAATTGACACAATTTGTGACGAATTATTGAGCACAGGGAAGGCATGAGTTAAATAAAGAGGTCTCTTTTGCACGATTACTTATTTTTTAGATAACGGGTATATTGGCGTTGAAAAACCGTATCATCCCGTTTGTAACCTGGTGGAGAACCTGGGTTTGACTGCTAAGCCCAATTTTGACAAAAGTTAAATTATCTTTATCCAGTGTTATTGTCCGCGCTAAGAACAGTTGAGAGCACCACCAAAGACTTTTCTTGTTCCTCTTTTACGTTTAACGTTTTTGCGATATTGAAGATAACCGTTTTGCCCAAAATATCAAGCAATATGCGCAACCGAAATAGCTGACTGGACACAATCCGATATTTTTTGGCATAGCATGTAATAATGACTGATTGGAAAAGAGCAAACACATTTGAAGGGGCTGGTGAGGTTTATTTTCTTTCCATCCTTGTGCATTTATCATGCTGGGTTCACGTGACATATTGGACTCGGAAAAATCTACGCACGCACTGCTTCAGCAATGCAGACACACTGGTATTTTAATCCAATAAAGACGGTTCTGTAAACTGATATGCATGCAGTGCTCTGTCATGTCCAGTAGTGCCCTGGAGCAAGCCGCTCCGGTCAATCAGGTTTGCCCGAATATAGCCACAGTGTGTGAGATTCCGGCCTGTCCTATCCAAATTAAGATCCCCATTGAGTTTGGTGGATATAGACCTTTGATGATAATTGAAAAAGGATAAAAACCACCGTAAATTGCTTCCTCCTTTTTGTACTTAGTGGAAAACATGATGACACTGCCTGAAAAAAAAACAGTGACTTGGAGGATTTTGAGTTTCTCAAGTCGAAAGATGTAATTTCATTCGTTTAGGGTTCGGGTGGAACATTTAAAAATGTAAATGGATTTCGCTTTCATGAATGAGGCTAAGTGTATGAACACAATGCTCCTGCTGTATAATCCACTCCTGAAGAATGGTTCAGACCGCCATGCAAATATTTGATTCCGGTGTTTACCGATATCATGCCTAAAGTGTTTATCCGCATAACTGGCAATAATTTTAGGTCTACAGAATGTAATCAATGGCTGTTGAAAGCCACATCAACCTATTTTCACTTCGCTTCTTTTCAATGAATTTTTAATGATACAATTTTCAGGATAGGGGTAGCGGCCAACCAAAGAGGTACCAAACAACAAAGAATGAAAAGAGTCAGGCGGTGATGGTGGGAATCGAACAAACGTNCAAACGTCCCCCGGGAAAGATAATTTGATGACCTTTACCAATCGGCCACCACTATTCACAAATCATGCTCAGACGGGCACTGGGAAAAAATATTCCTGAATCGTTTTTGATAACGTAGAGATTATTAGTTTGCCCTAGGATGGAATTTCCGTCAAGTAATCCAATCCGATATAGATAGATGGTGTTTGTGAAAAAACTTCATCCTTTACATTTTTCACCGTAATGAAATATGTGTTTATTTCACAGCTTCTTTAAAACAACTTTGTTGTGAAAGTATTCCGTTGAGGAGCCTTTGAAAATTCGAGGAGACGAGTGACCCTTTTGTTCGCATGCACCTCTACTGATCAGGAGATCAAATCACCAGTCATGAGGAAGCACAGTTCATTGAGATTGATGTAACCAATAACCACGCAGTTGCATACGATGGTGTTGGTAGCTATCCATTGGCTATCCATTCGGATGAAAGACTAGAGGGTGGAGTGGCAAGTGTGAGAAGCAGTTTCAACTAAGGTTGCCAATAGATTAAGCGGTGTCGGCTACCACGAATCATGTTGTGTCTTTTTGTCTCATGTCTCCATGAGCTGACATAGAACCGAGTGACGCTCAAACTATGTTTCAAGCTGGAGCAGTAAACCGACAAACAGTAATCCCCGAATGCTTGGAAACCTGATGTACGTGTGAAGAATAACTGTGCACTAAAGGCTTTACAGTAAAAGACTTGGCACTTGACTCCTATGAAGCCATTTTTCCGATCACTCACGGTTTGTCAGGCAGTATGATAGAATGACTCAAGGAATCGAGTCCATGAGGAATGATGACGAATTAGACCTGGATAAACTTGTAAAGGGTTTCTGTGAGGATCGCAATTCAACCTTAAGAACTACTACCGAACTTTGCACGAGAATCTTTTGTGAAATCTCTGTCCAAACCAGTCAACACACATAAAAAGCTGGATATATATGCCGTAGATAAAGACCTCGGAAAACAGTTTTAGTAATATATTCTGGTTTGATGAAATAAATCGATACTAAAAGGTTTTGTTTCCAGACTGATTTCAAATGTGGCCAGTGCAAATAAACCCTGTATATGGGCCATTCGGAACTTAGGCGGTTTCTGACAATCAGACCCAATGTTTAATTGTGCTTGGATTTTTTTCAAAACAGCCCTCCAAAAATAAGCAATTGCCACCGCTGAACAAACCGATTCGCCGAGCTCCGATCACGCTTAGGAGAGAGGACCCTATATTGTCAGTTCCTACCGCAGAATTGCAGTGTTTTTTGGCACTCAAGCTCCCCGAGAAAAATGTAGTTTGACAATGAACAAGATTCCTGGTCTATTCTGACCTTATTTAGTAGATTACTTGTCTGGATACACTATTTATCAACGTGATAGTGAGCAAATTTTGCGGTATACTTCGCACAGTAGCAGTATTTTCCGGGAATTAGTTTACTATATAGTACATCGTACGATATCCATCTCTCTCCCTTATCCGATGTCGTCATTTGGCACTGAAACTTTCAAACGAGTCAATCCTCAAGGGAAATCAAAGCACACAACAAAAGTTTCTGGCAAATGAAAATTTCAATACTATTCAGTAATCGGCTGCCATCTTGTTTCACGAAACCATTGTACTAATAAGACGCATAGTACATTTTACGACAGCCTAACTTCTTATTTATGATGAGGTTTTGAGATTCACCAGGCACGTTTTTCCAGGAAATTTTCAATGCAAAAAGGGTGTGTGTGTGTGTGTGAATGTGGCTGACCATATCATCTTACTCATCCAAGTCATCAACAGCGCACGGCAGTCCAGTTTTAGGAGTAGAGATGGGACAATTTTCAGCATTCACTTTTGCACATGCGTTCCGTTTGCTCACCTGGATAGGCCAGGACGAATTGAAAAATGTTTTCATGGTCTCAATGAATCCTTCAACTTCCTTTACCAGAACAAACAGTTAAAACATTATTTATAGTACAAAATAAACAAAGGCAGTTTGTATCATTTAAATAGTCAGTGGAATGGAGCAATAAATTCCTCCGCCAATAAACTAGAATAAAACTATGGACTGTTTTATTCCGGATTTGCTGATCGATCCACAACAAAATGGCTTTATTGAGTTCTCTCATACAGAAGTAAAATTATATTCTCGTAGAGAGAAAAAAGTCCAAATGCACACGGATACTCAATTTGTTTTTTTTCAGTACCACATCAAAAGAATCGGCAACGATAGGAGCAGCAGTACGTGTATATTTTCTTATCTGCTACCGCCTTTTCCGTGTTGCCATGGTACATCAAGTTGAAAACATCTGTTGGCGACTCCGGTGGAATTAAAACGGATCGTTTACAGTTTAATGTGACAATTTCCTTTTATCGCTTACAGGTCGGTTGTGTCGCTTAGTGATCAAACAACTTCTGAAGATCGGTTTGGATCATTGCTAGACTTGCATCGCGATAGGGATAGAAATAAAAATCCCCAAACGAATGTCCAAAACACATCCAGAACATAATGATTGAAATAATTTCAAAAATTCCTCGGATTGCATTTTATTGACCAAGTAAGAATTCATCTCTAATGCTGCTCCGACATTCATTCGACAAGTTGAACTCATCCTCTCCTTGTCTATCTTAACTTTAAATCAAAGACATTTTCGTTGAGCGATAACTTTTAACGAAAAACGGCGTAAACAAAGTCAAAGTTTTATTATGCGCAATACTTGTAAGGGTTTGTTTTTTCGGGTTAGATAGATTGACCGATCAAAAACAGATGAGGTATTACTGCTTCGTTTATTGCTATAGTTTTCGACGTCCCTACCTGGAGGAATTCATTACTGGTACCGAAACAGCGTAAGCTGGTAAGGAATCACAAATACGGAACACTCTGAGGGCAGAAGAATGACTCCGGCACACTAGTCGATAGTTTTAGAGCAATAACTTAAAGAAATTTGCCCTGAGGGGAATGTTGGGCAATAGAGTGAACGGTGAACGACATGGGTCGACAGTGTTCTGCATCATTTGATACACTAAAATCAAGTATCCTCGAATTTGACGGTACGAAGTGACGTGCAACCTCAATGGTTGCAGTTTCTCCACAAGGATCTTGGAATTTATTCCATTTACCATCTTGGTAGCCATTCTGCGTGGACGTTAAGAAATCCTAAAAAGTTCAAAGTTTTATTATGAGCAATTTAACAAAGTTAACGCTTATCATGTCCATAGGATTTTTACAGAATGTCTGGGACAACTTTAAAAACAGAAAATATTAGTAATATGCATGATTACGCACAGGTGTTAAAAGTTTGACTGTTCCAATGCTTTATGAAGCTGCTATTTGAATCAGTCAAATGCAGAAGCACACACTACATAAAATGAAAGAGAATCCCATGCAATGTGCACTCTGACTGCAAACGAGTGATACCGGCAATCTAGGTAACTGCTCTGGGTCCTAAACCTCCATGGATATCCCTTGAGATGATTATTTTGACATAAAGTCTATAAAGAACGGCAAGGGTGGCTGGTTCCATGCAGTATGTGTTATTTCAAGATTAGGTCCACTCGAGGTCGACGGTACAGTCTTTCGAAGTATGTCTTGTTACACAGACCTTGCACCGTTTTCGTTGCCCACCTTTACGGACTTTCTAGTCGCGGTTCAATCATGAATTCTATACTTGAACGGCGTATTCCGCGTGTGTCTGAATGAACGCAGATAACAAGCGCGGGGAAAGTACTATTTCGAACTGCCCAAAGGCACCTTTAGATAGTCCAACTTACGTTATAGCCATGGATGGTGCTCTGGCACAATGCGTAGAGCATCCTAAATCTTCCTGTACCATAACTTCCAAAGTCCTTTCGTCGGTGGCATGCGGTAGTATTTGGTTTCCCAGAACATTGGAGAAATGAGTTTTGTGTTACATGGAAATAGGTTTGCATTTTGAAACGTTGAAATCAATGTCATTGACATTTGACCATCGGTGAGCTGCATTGATCGTTTCTTGGAGTGCAAAATAATCCTCTGGATGTGCTACTTTTCTCCGCGAATAATAGTGCGTTTGGTCCCAAGATATGTGGTAGATGTTTTATACATGTAAGAAAAGAACGCGGACCCAGGTCGGATGCTTGTAGATACGAATAACTACCCTTTACGCGCGCGCGCATGCACAAGCTGAACCTGTAGTACTTTTCCAGCATTGTCCACTGGAAGTGTTTACGTACTTAGGGTCTGACCAGAATAACCGAATCAGGTATGTTCAAACATCGTCTCTAGTGATATGCGGCGATTTCATTAGCACCATGAACCGCTAGCGAAGACAGAGTAGACTCTCCGTCAACCCCAATCGCGTGAGCTGGTTAGCACAATGGTAACACAAACACGTGAAACTCAAGTCTGAGGTACATCCTAAGTGTATATATAATTGAATGGAGGAATACTCCTGATGATCAAGTCTGTCGGTCGATCATGTCAAAACCACGTGTCCTACACCACTACTACTACTCACCATCCGTTATGTGTTAAATGTGAGATGTTTTATAACCGGACAGAGTGACTATGAATAAATCAAAACTAACTGTTTTTTTTCATCCAAACGATTTCTTACTAACGTTCCGTCCTACAAGATTTATCCGTTATTCGTTCCCTATGACTGCTATTTGAACTGGATGCCTCATCGGTCGACACTCTATCACACTACATCGGAAAGTACCGGGAATAAATAAACATCATTGCATTATGTATAGTACGATTTCGAAAATCACTTGTTTACAATCAATTATTCTTCGGTTTTTCATACGGAATATCGCTTGTTCTTTGAACTACTATTCGTTCACGGCCAGTAGCAGCCATGTTCACACAGAGTAATCACCAAAAAGCAGTGGGGTGAATTTACTGTGATACTGGTATATCGATGTGATAAGAATTATTAATCACAATGACATGGTGTGACAAATAATCGTCATTTTTCAAAGAAGAGGATGACTCAGTTCCACGCGCCAATGAGAATAAAAGAGCGGGAGGGGAAACCATAATAAAATTGGACCAGGAAGAGTATGGACAGTTTGTATCATCGATCAAATCTAACGAGATACCATGATACAAGGGCATAACGACATACAAGTACATTGTTTGGGTTGGTTAAGGGATCCAGAGCAGTTAAGAAGGCACGATGCGTGAGAACAATATCTGACATGAGTGAGTGAAGTTCAAGGATAGTTGGTACTCACCAGAAAAGATGTACACACACACACAGGTCCATTATGTAACCTGATCACTTACTTCCACTGGGTTCGATAATACCGTATACCATCACCCACACGTTTCCAACCGGTTTGTGTCAGCTCAGCCAACTTTTCACTGTACATTAATGGACGCATTCCTTGGGAGAATAAACTTGTAGCCTGCGAAATTGCAGGCCGAAGAAGAGAGAAATCGGTCAGTGGTAGTTGGAAAGGGAAAAGTGTAACAGTGATTGATAAATAATTAAACAATTCGCTAAACAATTATTAGTTTGTTTTTCAGTAACAAACAACTAAACTTCAAAGAATTTCCATATTTATGGACTGCTGAAATTATTCTGCATTTAATACATATATCCATAATACTTTTCAGTCTTTGGACTTCAGTGATTTTCGCGTGTCAGCTGTTTATGAATATCATTATCGAGGTTTTTTCAAATTTAAAGTCCTGTAAAGCGAGTCTCTTGTTTATATATAGATTGAAAATAAAATCCTCCAAAATCTTTATAAAAAATAATCTACAATAGAACAGGTATCATTCGTCTGAGAAAACATTCGGTTTATATGTTTGTGGATCAATACTTGAATTTTTCTGATAAGATGAGTTGAATTTGAAGCCTCAACATTTGCTTGGAAAAGACAAAAGAACTGAGAATTTGTCATATCAAACTCTTTTGTCCACCCCATTATTGAAGTAAATGTTTTATTGATTTTGTTCTGAATGAAATATGATGGATTGTTCAAAGTCATAATTTTCATAAATTATTGTCCTTTACAATCTTCATGTTGAACATGGATACAAACATGCTGAATCAATCATTGCTCTTCTTAATCCGTGCTGCTGCATTTGCAAAATGTTTACTATCTATCATCATACACACATGTGCATCCAAAAGCATCAGTATGGCCGGGATCGGTGTCGTTGGTTAGGGCTGGTCACCCGATCCCTTGTACCTCGCGAAATGTTCCCATATGACCAAGAATCTCAAATAGTCTCTGCTGAGGAAGCCCTACTCACTGCCTTCTCGTCGCGGAGGTGCTTTTCCTCACCGAAGTGAGAGGACGAGAAGCCAATACCCGTAGCTACAACCACTGATACTTCACCTTGGGGAGTTGGTCAAAAACCGTGATTCCAAACTAACCTAGATGAGTCTTACGAACAACATCCACACATTTTCGGTTGTGGCAGTGTTCACCGGCTCAATCAGGCATTGAGGTGTATTGAGCACCTTGGACGTTTGACCAAAGGGCGTATGATCCGATGAACTGGACACCGGCTCCCAATGGACTGTGGTTTTCACACCACCCCGTTGCCTTGCGCGTCAGGCTTTGGTTAACCAAAGGCTCCGGTTGTGGATTCCTCAAGAAAATTCACCTGTCTTGGCTCGGGCAACCTGGTAGTATTCTGTCCACAAGCCAATCACGGAACGTTTTTCTGTTTTACAAAGATTATTGTATTGTGATTTGTTTGACAAACAGTCTGGCCCCGGACAAGTGTGAAATATAATATATGATAAACGAAGCAGCCCAAATGAATTTTGGCCACTTTGGGCATTCTTAATAGCAACAGCTCACTGATTCAACGAGTTTTCGATTTCGGGATTTCACAAAGAGAACGCAAGTCCATTTGACTATTGAGCAGTTTTTATCAAGCCTTTTCATTTGGTTTAATATTGTTTCACTAACTGAATTACTGACAAACAATATTTCCTGGCTTAAATTTGCAAAAAACATGAAAAAACTTTGTCATTTCGGTTGTATTTGCCTCCTTCCCGTGACTTAAAAAAATCGATCCATTCACTTTTCCTGCACTCTGAACTGTGGTAAACAGAACGATTGGGCACCTTAAAATTTACTCACACATAGTAAACATATTCGGCGTTCAACACAAAACAGAAGAAAATTTATCCAGTCACATAATGCGATAGAAATTTGAGGTTGAGAGGAAAATCCATTTCCCGGCCAAAGCACAAGTGGCTTCCAATTCTTAGTTTGGAATATTTATTTTGAAAATGTTAATATCCACGTTTCGATCAGAGCAAGATCAATTCTGAGAAAGATAGGCAAGGGAGTGGAATCAACGCGAACAAGTGTAACAAACACACAGATTACACCATATAAAAAAATCCGGCCTTTCTAGAAGAGATAAAACTGGCTGAGAAACGACAGTGAGATAATTAATATTGTTTTGTGAACTGTTTTGTTCAGTCAGATACCCCGATATGATAAACGGTCCTATTTGTCTGTGTTTTGTTTCAAGCGATTGTGATCAGAAACTGCCACACTGAAAGAAATTCATCACAATGTTGCTGATTCCCTGACTTCCATCCACCAATATAGCCAAGTAGATCATGTTGACTGATACCTCACTCAGTCAAACTCATCGTGTTATGGTTGAGAAGCAGAACGAATGCGCTGTGTCACAATACACAAGACATCCTACAGGTGATTTTCTGTTTTCAAATCCCGTGTTCTCTGTTATCATTTGCATACGCACAAGCCTGTTTAACTGTAGCATTATGCTCCTGAGAATATCAAGGTCCTTGGAAAGAGGAAGCTTTAAAGCCAAAAGAATACGATTCACTTCGAAGCAAACAAAGACAATTATCCACTTTTAAAGATAGACCAGTTGGCAGGACCAGCAATGACAGATATGGAAGTAATTGGATACAACTGTATGCCCTCTTCCTCCTCTAGCTATTCTGTGAAGGTATTATGAGTAGTGTGTATTTGTTAGGCCTGGTCTGCTTCCTCGAAGAGCAAGGTTCACCAATTATGAGACCGAATTGCGTGTGCAAGAAGGAATACTTTGTGTACAAAAATGTTTACATCACTGAAGGCAGGAAGATAATTTTGTTGCTGTTGCTGGTGCTGCTGTTAGCGGTGGCAATGGTAACGGCAACGGCATGATTAAACTGTGAGCAGCAGTTAACCATAGCAAATAAAATCAGCTCACCTTGTAAAAATTTACTACCGTGAATCGGTATTTTTGAAATTTCTTTGTGTTGGTTACACGAAAGTAAAACCATTGCGTATATTTTGTCGTGTATAAATCCGGTCGAAGATAGAGCTCGTATTCGTTAGTCCCACTGTTTTTTGTTTTAAATCGTTGGTCATACAGGCCGCACAGATTAGAAAAAAATGGCGAAATGTGTTATCACTGTGAGAACAGTCGAAAAGCATATGCGGCTCTCAGCGCTACATTTTTATTAATACAAAACTAGTCAATAGCACATAAGTTAAAACATATCTGACAGAAACTGACATCACCGTACGTTCATGCGAAAACTTTGTGAACTTTGTCTTAGCCTTCGGTTATGAAACATCTTCATGTTTGTGAAAAGATTTTCACAGTTTGCTATTTACATAGTGACGGTTGGCGCGTATGATTTTTAACTGAAATGTGAGCTCCAGTGTTTGCAAAAGTTATACACAATACAATGAAATACAATACAATACGTGAATGCGATCAGGAAACGATGAATCGAAGTATTTGACCATAGAATGAAAAATACGCATTTTTCAAAGGCCTATTCAGCTTTGGCTAAACATCGACCCCGTTAGGCTTGTAGATCTATTGTAATCAATCAAGTTTTCATCAAGGACGTCTAATATAGTCCTCTGGTCTCTATTTTTATGTTTCGAAGGAACATTATCGGTTTTGTGGGTATCCCATCCCAACAATCATTAGTTTACTTGTTCTTCTTTATACTTGCATGGCCAAAACTATCTCATTCGATTATCTGAAATTTGTGGTTGGGAATCAGTTTTCCTGAANTCCTGAAGAACCCATTATTAGTATTAATATGAATATTATTACTATTTCAACCTAACACCAGTATTTGTTGAGCAGCAGACAGGGTAAACTCCGTAGTTGCGAGGATTTATTTTTCACTCGGAAATATCGGCAATTTGAACTGTCGTGTGACTTAGGGTGATTAACCGCATGAAGCCCAATTGGATTGTCTGTGTTATTAACCCGGAAGACATTCATTTTGCTTAGCATCAAACATTAGTGATTGGTTTCATGATGCCAGCTCTCAACGCTAAGGACCTAAGCACACCCGTGACAACGATTAAGCTGATTAACAATTACCACCACCAGCGCCACCACCACCCCAGTATGAATTATAATATTGCTAATAAACTCAGCAAAATGTCCGATCCTGACGCGTTCATGATGACCTACACCAGATTGAACAGGTGTGTAGCACTGCACTTTCGGGAATCACCTAACAGATAATCAAAGTGTTGTCTGGTTCAGACTAATAAGTGTGAATATAAAGTGGCGATTATAGAAGAATTCGAATATACATGTGGTGACTATTTTCAACCAACTTAGACCGCGATAGTTCCAATCATTCATTCATGTATGTTGCAAACTAATCAGTGGGTTTAGTCGGTTATACATAAAACTGTAGACCACAAAATCTTAGATGCATTTTGTTCAATTCTCATTTCATACCTGTTCTGCAGTTCAAAACATGGACTTTATTAAACTATTCGTTCTTAGAGCTTGTGTCCAGAAATCAATACTTTCATAATAATAATAATAATAATAATAATATGTAGAAATCCTGGTTTTTCATGTTTCCCAGGATGAAATTGTGTACTAACACAGTATAAGTTGTCCGTGTAAACACGAACGTGTGCGACAGATTTAAACTCTCCTTATGCTTTTCATCGTAAATCTTCGGTTGCAAAAAGATGAGAAGGAGTCGTGAAAATGTTTATCCACTTACGTGCGTATTGCTTTTTGCAGGTTTCCACATTCGAAACGCGATTCAAATTGTAAACAGTCAACACTTTGTGCATGTGAGTCTTTTATTTGAATGATCGAACCGTATGCCTTGGTCCCGTCCAGCTGGTAATGGATACAGGAGAGAGAGTTAATCGCGAAAGGGCTTATACAACAGACATCGTGTTAGGAAAGTGTAGATTATTTATTTATACTTTTTCCGTTACGGTATTCTCATTATCCTGACTTGGATAAAATTGGTTTTGATGAGCAAACAGAATTTTCAATTTTTTAAACCTGCCAAAATATCCATTCGTGTGGTAGGTATGAACGCCTTCGGTGTCTACTATTGAGGTACAAACTAAAACCCAGCGCAGATATGAAAAACCTCTAAAAGTAG